GGGGGGCGTGCACCCAAGCTGCTGTGGCCGGTTCACCCTCTCTACCCCACCCTGCTTTCCTTCCACGATCCGTTTCCTTTTCCCTGGAGACTTCCTCTACAAAGCCTGGCGCTGTGGAGGGTCCGAGCCTCTGAACCCGGCTCCGGGCCCCGCGTCTAGCACCTCTGCTCTGCCCCTACCGCAGCTCTCGGCGCTGCCGGTTAGGCTCCGTCCGATTTGATTAGCAGTAAGATTTCCTTTCGCTGTTAAACATGACCCTCAAACCTAGACTCTAGGATTTTTTTTTTTTCTCTCCCCCTCTTCCCAACAAGACAACGCCTCGGTTCGCAGCAGCTACAACCTCCGGTCTCAGCGCCTTGGAAGTTTTATTGGCTTTACGTTGTCTCTCCTCCCCAGGTTGGAGATTTAGCCAAACGACTTCGGCCTCTTGCCTGGGGTTTGTGATCCCTTAATTGTGACGCGTGTAAAATAAAAGTTGTACCCTGAAGAAGTGCCTTGAAGGTTCCTGGGGTTAAATGATTTTCCCGTTTGTACAAACTATGGCCGGCTGGTAATTAAATCTGGCGTTTGGGCTGCTGGCTTCCTAGGTGCGAGGTGGACAGGAGCACAGAACTCCTTTGGAGACACACGGCCACTTGGAGTTAAGCGGAAATATCTGCTGGCTAAGACATGTGTGCTCCTGCACATCTTGATGCCGTGTCATACATGCATCCAAATAAGCCAGTCTTCGCTGTGCTGCTAATCTACTCCAGATTTCCCAAGATCCCCCTTTTTAATTAAAACAGGAAGGGTTCTTTCATGACTTGGTAATGTTACTAAGGCGGGTGCGCTAGGGGCTCAGTGCGGGGAGACGTGGAACCCAGATACCTAGAGACACACATCTGTCCTGGATGGCCTGTCTAGGCTCTCTGACTCTACGCAGGGGCCTTGCTACTCTAATGGGTCGCCTTTCCCCTACCTGCTTTAGGGATTGACTTGTGGAGTTTTAATTTTAGAATTTGTTTCTTTCTGGCTGAGCTTCCCCACTTGTTCTGTCCCCCTCCCCAAGGGAGTCTTGTCTTTTCTCCCCCTTTAGTTGCTTCGAACTCTCCACAGCAGGTCTGGCTTCAGAGCTACACTATTATCGACCTCTGATTCCATCTGGACCGCTTTCCTCGCATGTTCGGGCCTTCTAGGTTTCAGCAGTGTCGATAGTAAACTGGGGGCTCTGGCAAGCCCAGACGTTCCCTAACAGGTGAAAGAAAGACAGGAGGTGGACAGATCCTCCGTTCCAGGACTGGGAACGTTCATTCTCCCTTGAGGAGGCTGCAGCAAATAACCGCCCAGCTAGGATAGCTGTAGGAGGCTGCTCAAGAACCCCGGGAGAGCTGGAAGGGGCAATTCACATTCTGGGAGCTCCCGTCCCTCCTTTCCTCACCTGAACACACAAATGCAACCAGGGCTAGAGGGCCATCACAACCACCAACCCAGAAAATAGTCATTTTCCAGCGCAAGTACCACAAGCGCTGCGGGGCTGCCCCAGGGCCAGCCGTCCAGCTCTGGGGTCGAAAGTCAGGCGCCTGGATCTCGGTGAGCACTGACCTTTCCCAGCCCGGCTCCAGCCGCTGAGCCTTGTCTGTAGGCCTGATCTCTGCTCAGGAGCATAGCTCTATTTACGCCTCAAAGGTACAACCACAGTCTGCTTAAGGGAACAGCGTGTTTTAGGGAACAAGGTGCTTAAGAAGTTTCCCTCCTTTCCCAGTTTATGGCCCGGGAAACAATTTAAGGCCTTTCAAACCCTTAATTCCACCCCACCTCACCTCGCCAACCCGCAGGTCTCAGACTCCGTACCTGCGGGGGCGGCGACACTGTTGTCCTACTCCCGCCGAGGGCGCCATTGAGGTGCAGATCGCGGCCTGCGGGATGTGCGCCGCCGCCCGCCGCTTCAGCTCGGGAAGAAAGGCCCGCGGGAGCGCCGTGGAGCCCCCCTGGAGCCAGCGGGGTCGCGTTTGTCAGAGCGTCATTACCACCACAAGTCACTGTATTGCATGTCAATGTCCCAGCCGCGCCAGGACCCCAGGACTACAGCGCCAGGCCCGAGTGTCGGGTTCTGGGGTCCTGGGTATCCGGAGAAGGGTTTAACTCTTTCTGTGTGAGACACGGAGACTCCCAGGGAAACAAAGAAGCCAAGATGACCCTTTTTTAATCCAGTGAGACCGGCGCCCAGCAGTCAGAGGCCGGCTGATCTGGCCCCTCCGGGCCCCAAATCCACACGCCCCACCCGAGATCAGAGCTTCCCGCCCCTTGCCAAACCATGAGCCCGCAGGAGCCAGACCAGCGCGCCTCCCGCTGCCTCTGGCCTCAACCTCATGACTTGAAAAACTTATTTGGGCCCACTGGAGGTTCAGCCGCCCCTTACCTCCCTGAGCTCTGTTACGAACCTTGTCAGGGGCTCTACGAAATATTGAAATCTCCTGGGAGCTGCGCCAAACTACCCCCTTTACTTCTCAGGCCCAGAGAACAGAGTAAGGAAGGTAGCAAGAACCATGGGATTGGAAAGGGAAGACCCGTAGGGTTTGTGTGAGATTTACAGTCTTTCTTAACCCTCAAAGCTACCCTAACCTCGAGGGTGAAATTGTGTTTAGGAATGTTTAAATGAAGCGAGAAGAGTGTAAAAGTTCACTAGTGATAAAAATAAGTGAAGGGCACAAACTGTACTGTGAATATCCCTTCCCGCTTCTTCCCCAACTCCAAGGAAGAGACTTCTCTCAACTTTCCTTGTAATGGCCGAATTCTGAACAAAGCTGACCAACTTGCCCCAGGAAGAGCAGGGCCTGTGCATTTCTTGGAGAAGGCCCGGCAGTCTTAGGACAGACACAGTGTCGCCCCAACCGAACCTAGTGTGGCTGAGCTAAAACAGCAGACCCCAGATCTAGTATGAAATCAGTGACGTTGGGAGGCTGCGAAGCTAACCAGCCGGTCCCGAGCCGCCCTCATTCCCAGAAAATGTCTGGATGTTGGAGGAAATGCGCTGTGACCGAGGTGGGGTCTAGGGCTCAGCCGCCAGGGTGCCCGCGGCTCAGCTGGACGCTCTTGGGTGTAAGTGGATCTCGACACATCCGCGACCTCTTCCTTGTCGCCCACCTTTTGCTCCCTACCCTCACTGTCACTCTGACCCGCGGACCAAGCGGGAAAACCGGCTCCCGGAAGCAGCCTGCGTGACTAGATAAACTTTGCAAAACTCTATTTCCCAAAGGAGCATGGTCACCTCCGCAAGCGGGTCACCCGAACTCCAAAGCTTGTGGATGGGAGGACACTACAGAGGGACAGGTGCACCAGAAACCCTCTAGAAGTCCTAGGGTCTGGGGCAAGGCCGAGGACTCAGTAATCAGGGAACTTTCCCCCGCCCCAATCGCCCTCCCCGCCTCTCGAATTAGTCATCCACCCAAGTTTCTACTTGGGGGGGGGGGGCAGCGGGAGCGCAAACCACAAGTGACCCCGGGGGCCACCTGTGAAGCGTGGGCAGGACTTTCCCCGGCCCCAAGCCCCAGCTGGCGGCGCGCGTTGCCCCCAGCACCTCGGTTGCCGCCCGCGCTCGTTTGCCCTGTCCTCTCTCCCTCGGGAGCGCTCCTGGGCGCTGCCAGGCGCGCCTCACCAACGACTCTCCTGCCCTGGGTCACAGTGCTTCCTCTCCAGCCCCCTCTCCTGCCCCTTCCCCTTCCCACCCCCTCCCACCTCGGTCCGGACCCAGGCAATCCCCCCCTCCCCGTACCTGCCAGTCCCCCATTTTGGCAAGTATGGACATCGTGGCTCGGCGCTCCTGACGACGGCTCCCCGCAGGGCATGGGCTGGAGGGCTCTGCCGGGCCCGCTCCCTGGAAGCGCTTAGGCAAATCCTTCTTTTTTACCTGCTCACCAACATCTCACCTGGTCATAAAGAGCTGGGTTGCTACCTGCCGACGCATGCGCGCTAGCCCTGGAATTCACTCCGCCAGCCCCAGTCCCAGCGCCTCGCGGAGCTGACCTGGGACATGATGGATTTATAGCCGCTGCAATCTCGCCATCGGCTCCGGCTTTTCCCAACAGCCCTAACCCGCTTTCCCGGTCAGTCCCAATCCAGGCAACTCAGGCGGGCTGGCTCCCAGGGAATACTGGGCATGTTGCGCGCCAGCGTAGTGTGTGCTTTCTGGCTCGAGTAATAGGGACGTCTACACACTCCCTCCAGGACTGCTTCTGCCTTGGAACTTTGGAGCTGAGGGCGTCTCCAGCCCTGGGAGAGAAGGACTGAACTGGGGGCACAAAATCAAAACTGAGAGACCCCGCTCTACGAGTTAGCGCACGGTGGTGGGGCCAAACCTTAGTCTGTGCTTGCGCACTGGCAGCGAAGGCTCGGGGCACCCTAAGACCCCGCGGATCAGAGTCTGCAGCTCCCAGGCTGCGCTAGCATCTTGTCCCAGATCAAAGTATTGTTCTGTAGGTAAAGACGCCCAGTGATCCTTTTTCTTTTCTGGCTTCAAGGTTTAGTCTCCTCCCACCGCAGAAAGCCAAAAAAAAAGTGGGGGTTGGGGAAGATAGATACATGCACAGAGTCTTCACACGTGGGTACGCTTGCCCCCCTTCTGCGGAAGGTCTATTACCTTCTCCACCCCTCCCCCACTCCTTCTCAGAGGCTTCCCCGTGTTTTTATCTTTTTCACGGAAAACTTTAAAAGGTAGAATGGGGGAGTTGGTGGCTCTGAGATAGGTAACTGAGGCTTGGGTTTGAGCTGGCTTTCCCATGACAGATAAAATCACTCGTGTTTTTAACTCTGCTTCTAATTAGAAGGGAGCTTTAGAAGAAGCCACAGGATTTGGGGCTCCTGAAGAGCTCCTCTCCCTTGGGAACCACACCTGGCCAGGAGCGAGACTAAGGTGAAGAGGTGGGGGTCCCTCACCGCCCCACTGGGATGAGGCATCCTCACCCGTAGGGCCACAGGACGACAGTCCAGGGCTTGGGAGCGGGCCCAACTCTTCTTCCGAGCTCTCAAAACCTGCAAGACGAACAATAGTCCCAAATTGTCTTCACTGGCACGCCAGACGAATGTGTGTGAAAGGTCACCTCCATGCAAAGGACCCCAACACCTCCCCTTTCTGACTGCGTTGGAGTGAGGTAGTGTGATGTGGGCTTCAGTGCCGCCTCCAAGAAGTGTCTGCGCCTCTTAAGACATTCAACCTTCCCTGAGTGTAGAACTTGTATCTGGGTCAGATTCCCTTGTTAATATGAACTTTCTTTGCGCTGCCTTAGAACCTTACAGAATCTCGGATTTGAGAGTGGAGCTGTGTGAGTATGTCCTGAGTAACTTAACATGTCTGAGGCGGTTTGTGAATGGGTGATTTGGGGGACAAAATTGTCTTTAACAAACAACGTCTTTAACCTGAAAGCTTATGCACTGCCTGCTTCTTGGCATTTTGCAGAGTTATAGAAATAGTGTGGACTCAAGACTTATTGAGGGAGCGTCTGTAGCTCTCCAGGCTCCCGGCTGGGGGCGCTGTGAACCTGACAATTTAGTACTGTTTCAGGCCCTGGTGCCTGGATTTCCCGCGTGCACAATATGAGCCTCCTCAGATTCAGCTGATTGGGTCAAGGGGGGCAGGGGAAAGCCATGGGCCAAAGTGGGGGGGGGGCCTAAGGAGGACCACTTTCACTTTTTTTTAAGAGGAGGGGACGTTTGTAAGTAAAGGGAAGAAAAGTCCTTGCATAGGGCTTGGTGTGAGTAACAGGGTGGGCTGCATGCGGAGCGGCCCAGCCCTAGGGCCACAGTGCTCATCGTGACCCACTCCGATGCTGGGAGTGAGGCTGGCAAGGGCAGCAGGACGCAGCTAAAACGTACTTTTGAACTAAAGCCAGGTAGGGTCCAAACTCATCTCGGGTATTTGGTGACCAAGGGCACAGTATCGAACTTCCCAGAACCTCTACTTATCTGAAAAGGGAGTCATTTGTTGATAAATTAATGGAGTGATACGCGGGAAATTCTATGCAACCTTGCGCTGAAGAAAGGTGGCTGAGCTTTGTCCTACAGCGTCTTTCCGCTTGGGGGTTCGAAGCATCCCAAACCAGGTCAATTCAACAGTATGTCAACTTCCCTGCCTGTTTTCTCACGTGTATCAGAGAAGAAACACTTTGGTTAACTGCATCTCCGCAACTCGCCCGGTTTGCACCCTCTGCTGCTCCCGGACAGACGCGGCTTCGCGGTTCAGGGCCTTTACCCTCCCCGATCTTCTCTCCCCTCCCTCTCCCTTCGAAGACCTCTTCTCCTGCTCAGCGCCAAGTCTCCAGCCACACTTGGTTGGATGTGATGGCCGAGGGTCGGTGTGGGGGCGTCATCCAATTTCCTTCCTCACTCACCCAGGGACAGGCCCCAGACCACCAACTGTCCTCAAGACTCGCCTCAGCTTCCAGGCTTCCTACCCTCTGTGTAGGAGCGACTCGACTTGTGGCTTTTCCTGCCCAGGGACATGTGAAACAGCGGGCTCCCTTCGCAGTCACGATGAAGCTAATTTCTTAGCAAACAGAGCTCAAAGTGCGACAACTGTCGTGTGTCCAGGAGAGAAAGGGGCAGGTTGGCCTCGTGCCAGAGTGCTGGGAAAGGGGCGGGCTCCCAGTTTTAGGTGACTATGACCTGGGCTCAGGCCACTTTGGGTCTCTGGGGTCTGGCGGAAATAACCTCTTCAGGAACCTCATTTTCACCCTAACCGGAAACCTAGACAGCCGCTCCAGCTTGCAGGCCACCAACAAGTGCTGACCTTTCAGCGCTCACACTACAGTTTCTACACAGCACGTGGGAATCTCGCCCCAAGTCTGAAAAACAGGCTACCCTGTTGCTCGCTCGCGTGGTAGCCTCGGCTTGGCTGTCTTCTCTGGGGAAACCGGGATCTTTGGGTAACCCGGCTACATGCTCCTCCCTTGCACCCTGTTAAACTCTGGTTGGTCCTTGGGTCTTTGGGAGGGGGTAACTAACCCCTACAGCTCAAAGTGGGAGGAAATGGATTTCTCCAAAGAAAAGGTGAGTGAAGATGAAGGGGATCTTGCCACGTGGGAACCTGAGGCTTTCATGTCTGACGTTCCATTCGAATTAACATTGGTAATTAGGGTTATTCTTGGTAGCCACAGGGAAAGAAAGTTTGATTTCTTACCAAAGGTCCCCAGGAAGAAGATAGTGAAGAAAAGCCCCAAGACACTGCGGAGTGCCCAGGGTAGCCTGTCGGGACAGCTCCCGCGCACGCGCACTTTCAGCTGGGACTTGTGACAACAGTGGGCACCGGAGGCTGGGAGGAGCGTGGCAGTGGACTGCGGAGCCTGCAGGCCTGTGGGTCGTGCCCCGTGCGCCCTTCCACACGCGGTCGCTGTGCCCATGTGACAGGTGCAGCCACCCTCCTGGCCGCCTGCTGTGCCAGGGCGGCCGAGGCGCACTGGTGCGGAACCACTATCTGAACGAGTTTGCGCTTCTGTTTACAAAGCAATCCTGCCATCAAAAGAAGAACAAAATCACCACTTATCACACCCTGTCATAAAGTAATCTGCCCCCAAGGGAAACCCGAGTTGAGAATCGCGCGCCGCCCCGCGTGTGTGTTTGTGGGGGAGGAAAGAGGGACTCTCCCAACTCTTCTCACGAGGAAATCGCCAGGGCACGCCCGTGTCCCTTCAGGCAGCGGAAAAGAGGAGGGTCCCCAAACTCAACTTGGGAATGTGACAGAGGAGCCTGGCCAGGACCTAGGCCTGACAGAGGGCATCGTCTTACTTTGGAATGAACCCATCTGCAGATCCTTGCTTCTGGTTCTATTTCCCAGTCTCCTCAAATGCTCTCCGTCGTGCACCAGCATAGTTCCAGTTCATCTGACTGCGCGGTCATTTTTGCTCTTCCCCTGCAAGGACATGCAAGGCTAAACAGACTGCGCTCAAAAATGAATGAGGGCGAGTTTTCCTCTTCAACCATCTTCTGCCCTCTTCCCACCCTCACCCCTCCGTGTCTGGAGGGATGGGGCTTAAGACTTGCTGGGCAGTACCTGCCAAGCTCCAAGAAGAAGGTGTGGAAATGGAGGGAGGACTCAGGGCAAGTCAGAGAGAGCAAATCTTCTCCTGAGTCTGTCCTCTGACGTTATGTCCTCCCTGCCCTGTTTTTTCAACAGTGAGGCCATGAATTCTTTTACTTAGCTGAATGCACCGATATAGGGATGGGGATGGCAGAGGGAGGTTCATGAAGTCTTCAGAATTCCTTTTTGGAATGTGGAGGATGAGCCCTCCCAGGAACCTAGAACCTTCTTTCCAACCCACTGCTACACCTTCACTACTAGGCGGATTGGGCTACTTGGCTGGTCTATTAAGTCATCACTTAATAGAAATGAAGTTTTTATTTCTTCTTCAGTGACCTTGGATGCCCAGTTCTTGCACCCACAACACATCCCTCTAATTCTCTAGCCAGAGAAGAGGTTGCTCCTGCCGCCAACATAGTACCTTGTACATGGTAGGTCGGCAAATGGCCAGGCTGGATGCATGTGCTGTGTTTGAAGTCTGAATTTGGGATTCTGGAGTTCTGGGTCCCCAGACTTTAACTTCAAGAAAAGTCAACAATATTGGTGCTGAGAGAAGAGCTCAACTTCTAATGGGGCGGCTGGAATATGGGGGGTTAGGGGAGTTCCTCATTTCACTCACAGCCTGCCTAGTGGAATTCTTCACATTTAGTTATGATTTGCATTTATTGAAGGCCTTGGGGAAAGGGAACGTTTACCCAATTATAATCCCTGCAGGGTTGATGATCAGAGAGAGGTTGCCCTCGTGTAGCTGAACATACAATCTGTAAGATGAGGCGGTTTCATTTTCAAAGATGAAGGCGTTTGATTGGAAACGCCCCTCTGCTCCAAACCTTAGGGGGCACTGA